GGGGTACCCAATTAAATAGATGCACATTAGATTCAGTATAGTATTATTTTTCATTTAAAATATTTTTTTTTTAATTTGAAACGTTTAATTTTAACATGATTGCAATAAGTGATTTTTCTATTGCGGGAGTGATTAAGATTATCTTTTCATGGTTCTTCCAAAAATCACCAGGTTTTCTTGGGACACAAGTTGGAAATGTGGAATTCACTGCTAGAAGATGCAGTGATGGCCGTCAACACAGATGGCTTTAAAAGGGGATTACAGGTTCATGGGGGAGGGAAGCGGGATGGTAGAGCCCGATCTCATCAGATTTCGGAAGCTAAGCAAGGTCAGTACTTGGAAGGGAGACCACCAAGGAAGGCTCTGCAGAGCAGGGGTCATTTCTTAGAAAAAAATGTGCAGGAGCTCATTAGCATAACTCATTAGCATAACTTATTTGCATATGCCAAACCCCCTGACATCACCGGAAGTGTGTCAGAAGGCAACACCCACCACAGGCTCCACTGAACTGTTTTGGATGGCTAGCTATTGGGGGGGGGTCATGCAGATCTGTCCTCGCAGAGGAGGGAGAGCTGGTACCTGAATAAAACTTGGTCTTAAAGGTGCCACTGGACTGTTTTGGACCGGGGGGAGGGGGGGCTCTGCAACTTACCTGGCTGTTTCTTGCTCTGACTGAGGGCTGCTGGGATTAGGGGGCGGGGCTTGTTGCGTGTGCCCGCCCCCTGGGCTCTTTACTGCCGGAGCTCCGCTCCTGTGCGCTCCCACAGGAAATGACCCCTGCTGCAGAGGAAGGCAATGGCCAGCCACCTCTGCTTTTCTCTTGCCTCGACAGCTCCTTGCTGGTGTCACCATAAGTTGGTTGCGACTTGAGAGCACATTACTGACACACACTGATTCATGGAGGATAGGTCTATCAGTGGCTACTAGATATGGTGACCAAAGGGAAACTCCACACCCAGAGGCAGTAAACTTGGGCTGGTAATAAAACCGTGATAGAGGAACACCTGTATGCCTTGCTTGTTGGACCTCCTGGGCAAGTGGTTGGCCAACAACCCAGTGAGGTAGGTTAGGCTAAACGTATGTGATCGGTCCAAGATCATTCAGTCAGCTTCCACCGCAAGATGGGGATCTGAATGGTCCCTAACCTGAAGCTCTAACCGCTACACCACACTGGCTCTCATAGGGTGGCTGCTGTTGAACGGTAGCAAGCAGCCAGGCTGTCGAACTTCCGAAAAATTTGAGAGCCTTGCATTCCGTTTTCCATATGAGTCTGTTAAAGAAGGACCCCGGTTCTTCTGAGTGGCGTCCTACATGTGTCCCTCCACCGCCTATCTTGCTTGAAGGGGGGGAACACTTTGAAATTGCAGACATCTTGGATTGTAAACTTAAACGGGGGAAACGTTGGTACCTCATTGAGTGGGTGGATTTTGGATAAAATTTCCAGAAATTTCCCAACCTGGAGCAGGCAATCCTAGGCCCAGGGCTGGCCCCAATGAGTTCTCCCTCAAAAGCCAAAATAGGGCGGAAAAGGGCCCTCCCCCTGCCTTTTACTGACAGAACCAAGCCTTGGAATGCTGTCGTTGCCTAGCAACAGCCACCTGTCAGCAAGCTGCCATTGAGGGTTTTGGTTCCCTGAGTGTATTCCCTGCCCCCTCCTGTTTTCTTATTCTGAGTTTCACATTCTTGGTTGGTAGGTGCCTGTAACTGCTCAAGGTTATCCAGCTGGTGTGGGGGAATGAAGCTATGTTATCAGCTTGCTCGTTAGTAGTGTCTTTCGCCTGTGAACTAAGAGTCTGTTTTGAGAAAGGTAAACCGTTATGTTCCCATGTAATGACCTGCCAGTGTACTGTTCTTTCGCGCCGGCGGGAATGGGATCTATTGGTTATAACTTGGTTCAAAGTTCCTTTATCATGTTGCCCTGTGGGGTATGTGTTCATTCCTAGCAATTCTATTGTTCCTGCTTCTTTCAAACGCTTTGAAATAAATTTTGCTTTAACCTTTAAACGTGGATTTATTTCGGAGTCATTGGAGATTCAACATTTTGTTAGGAATCAATTTTCCTCATCATCTCGAGTCGGATCAAAATCATGAGCGGGACAGAAGGGAACATACCTACAACGGTACCCACAACAGTACCTACAACAGAGGGGGATTTGCTTGGCATCCCGGTAACCTCTGCGGCCCCACTGGTCACCACGGCGCCCGTCTCGGTGCCTGCTACGGGAGCAGTAGGGGGAACGGTACCTTGCCCGAGCTACCTACCATGGCTGCCTCCAACCCCGAGCCAATGGGGTCGGAACATGATGCGAGCCTCTGAGGACTGGATGAGGTTCGACACCCGAGGCACGAGAGAGACTTACTCTTACCGGGGGAGCGGCCTCCGGGACAGCCTGGGTGAACGCGAGCAGAGACATGGAAGGTACCGAGAGGAGGATGACGAGTTCTGGGAGGAAGATCCGGGGAGAGGATCAGGCCCCGGGCTCAGCGAGACCCACAGAGACCCAGGCGAGGACCGGCTGGAGGAAATCGAACGATCGTTGCAACTTCCCTTGCGCTACGTTGTCCCCTGAGGAAGTAGCGACCCTCCCATCCGACTATCGGGACTTGGCACGGGTATTTGGGGAGGAGGAGGCTGACGATTTAACCCCCCATCGCAACACTGACTGCTCCATTGAACTGTTACCCGGGAGCAAATTGCCAAAAGGTAAAATCTATGCGATGGGGCCGGCGGAGAAGGCTGAACTGCGAAAGTTCCTCGACAAGAACCTAGCTAGGGGTTTCATCCGCCCAGCTTCCTCCCCTTTCGTAGCTCCAGTTCTTTTCCGGAAAAAGAAAGATGGGGGGCTTAGACTATGTGGGTTGAATGCCATTTCCACTACTAATGCCTACCCATTGCCGCTGATTAAAGACCTAGTAGCTGAGGCTACAAAGGGGAAGATATTCTCCAAACTTGATCTACGTGACGCATACTTTCGTGTGCGCATCAAAGAAGGGGATGAGGGGAAGACGGCGTTCAACACCCCGTTGGGACAGTTTGAGTACTTGGTTATGCCCTTCTGTCTGCAAGGGGCTCCGGGGGTCTTCATGAACTTGATTAATGAGGTCATGCATGACTTGTTGTTTAAGGGGGTGATTGTTTATTTAGATGACGTGTTAATATACTCCCAGGACCTCCCCTCCCATGTCAAATTGGTCAGAGAAGTTCTCAAATGGTTACACAAGCACAAACTCTTTGCCAAACTGTCCAAATGTGAATTTCATCAGACGCACATTGACTTTTTAGGGTTTCGCATTTCGGGAGGGGGGTTGGAAATGGATCCGGGGAAAATTCAGGCAGTGCTTGAATGGGAACCCCCCAGGACCAGACAGCAACTTCAAGCATTTCTCGGATTTACCAATTTTTATCGCGCTTTCATCAAAGGGTTTGCCCAAGTGGCTCTCCCCTTAACTGACCTATTAAAAACCAAAGGGAAGGGGTTTGACTCGACCAAGCCAGGAGCACCCCTCAAATGGTCCCCTGAATGTGATGAGGCGTTCAGACGGCTCAAACTATTATTCACCTCTGAGCCTATACTGGCGCCGCCAAATGAAACTAAAAAATTCATCGTACAAACTGATGCGTCCGATGTGGCAATGGGTGCGGCCATTTTACAGTAGGGGGCGGAGGGAAAGTTGCACCCATTGGCGTATGTATCTAAAAAGTTCTCTGAGGCTGAACGGCACTGGTCGATATGGGAGAAGGAAGCATCGGCCATCAAATTGGCCCTTTCGACATGGTGCCACTGGCTGGGGGGGGGACGGGTGTCGTTTGAGATTTGGACTGATCATAAAAACCTTGAGACTTTGAAGTCACCCAGGAACTTAAATGCAAAGCAACTCCGATGGGCTGATTTCTTTTCTAAATTCCAATTTTCTCTTCATCATTTGCCGGGCACAGCCAACTCACTAGCGGACGCTCTGTCACGCCTACCGCAACATGTGACATCATGTGACACAGCGTGACATCATCATTGACTCTGTCTTCACTCCTGCCCAGCTGGGTGGCGCGGTGGTAACCCGAGCGCAAGCTAAACAAATGCCCGCCCCAATTAGCCCGCAGACGCCCTCTGCTATTCTGTCTAAGGGGAAGGAATGGTGTCAACGTTATGTTTCAGCCTGGGCCCCAGAGGATGAGGTGCTGATCAAAGAGCTTCCCCAGTGTTCCCGTGAACCAAATGGTTTGGTCTACTCCGAGGGGAAGCTGTATGTTCCGGTTGCGCTGCGGGGGGAAATACTGCAAGCGGCACATGGTTCGAAACTGGCGGGCCACTGGGGTTTTGTTAAATCACTACAATTGCTCCGCAGACAATTCTGGTGGCCCCGCATGCGCATGGACATGTTGGAATTTGTGCGGACCTGTCAAACGTGTGCCTTGTCAAAACCTCGAGGGGGGAAACCACCTGGTTTACTTCAACCCCTCCCCACTCCCTCCAGGCCATGGGAAGTGGTGTCTATGGACTTCATCACTGACTTGCCTCCTAGCAGGGGTAAAACTGTTATTTGGGTGGTGGTCGACTTATTTTCCAAACAGGCGCATTTTGTCCCGTTCCCTTCTTTGCCGTCTGCCCAGGCTTTAGCCAAAACGTTCCTTTACCACGTGGTATGGCTCCACCTGTTGCCAGCCAAGATCATATCCGACAGGGGAACTCAATTCGTTTCTAAGTTTTGGCGTGAACTTATGTCCACCATGGGTGTGGAGCAAGGGCTCAGTAGTGCCTATCATCCAGAAACTGATGGCCAGACAGAACACGTTAATCAAACTTTGGAACAATACCTCCGTTGCTTTACCAATTACCAACAGTCTGACTGGTGTGATCTGCTGCCCTTGGCTGAGTACTGTTATAACAACACTGATCACAGTTCAATTGGCATGTCTCCCTTCAAAGCCGTCTTTGGCTACGACAGCCCCCCATTGCCCTTTTTTTGGGGGGAACATCCTCTTCAGCCTACTGATGCGGGAGCGTGGTGTCAATCTTTGGAACTAGCATGGCCTCTTTTGTGTGAAACATTAAACGCTGCGAAGGCAGCTTACAAGGCACAGGCTGACAGAGGAAGGGTGGCGGGTTTGGGTCTGCGGCCTGGTGATTTTGTGTATGTGTCAACTAAAAATATTAAGCTTCTACGTCCTAGTCGTAAACTGGGGTGGAAATTTATTGGCCCTTTTCGGGTTCTAAAAATTCTTAATAATGTGTCAGTTGATGTCGAACTTCCGAAAAATTTGAGAGCCTTGCATTCCGTTTTCCATATGAGTCTGTTAAAGAAGGACCCCGGTTCTTCTGAGTGGCGTCCTACATGTGTCCCTCCACCGCCTATCTTGCTTGAAGGGGGGGAACACTTTGAAATTGCAGACATCTTGGATTGTAAACTTAAACGGGGGAAACGTTGGTACCTCATTGAGTGGGTGGATTTTGGTCCCCAACACCGGGAATGGGTGGAAGAAGGGGATATTCGGGCCCCTTATTTGTTGCGCCAGTTCCATAAACGTTTCCCTCACAAACCGGGAGATTCCGGGAGATTCTGGGAGAAGGGGAGTAAGTGGTATTTTCAGGAGGGCAGTATGTCAGCAAGCTGCCATTGAGGGTTTTGGTTCCCTGAGTGTATTCCCTGCCCCCTCCTGTTTTCTTATTCTGAGTTTCACATTCTTGGTTGGTAGGTGCCTGTAACTGCTCAAGGTTATCCAGCTGGTGTGGGGGAATGAAGCTATGTTATCAGCTTGCTCGTTAGTAGTGTCTTTCGCCTGTGAACTAAGAGTCTGTTTTGAGAAAGGCAAACCATTATGTTCCCATGTAATGACCTGCCAGTGTACTGTTCTTTCGCGCCGGCGGGAATGGGATCTATTGGTTATAACTTGGTTCAAAGTTCCTTTATCATGTTGCCCTGTGGGGTATGTGTTCATTCCTAACAATTCTATTGTTCCTGCTTCTTTCAAACGCTTTGGAATAAATTTTGCTTTAACCTTTAAACGTGGATTTATTTCGGAGTCATTGGAGATTCAACACCACTGAGGGAATCCGTTGTTTAAAGCTACAGGTGCTCCTTTTTATCATTTGCAGATTTTTTAAGCTGCCCAGTGTATTTTTTTTTTAGATTTCACATTTTCTTGCAAACCTAGGGCTCATTTCAGATTTGTAGAAAGATCTGTCTTGCCCATTCACAGCTCCAGTCGCTGGATGTAAATATCCAAAGATATCCAGACTTCGCTATTAGAATATAAGATAACCAAACCCATAGCCTCATTAATTGTATTCGAGGACCAACATACACGTAACATGCTAGCTAATCTGAGGCCATTTGGAGCAAGGAAGTGGTGGGTGGAGAAAGGTTTAAGTCTCTTATTCTCCACAACCCCACTTTGCCTCTTTCTCTCCTACTTCACCAAAACAGGGCTGCCAGGTCTCCTGCTATGGTGAGAAATGTCCCACTGGCAGCCCTCTTTGCCCTCCACATTATGGAGTGGCAGCGGGATAAAAAAAATAAAGGGGAAAAAGTGACCTTGGGGGTCTTGGTACATCACTTCTGGGGAAAACACAGAAGTGGCATGTGGTAGCTCTAGGAATTACCAAAAACTCTATGGTTTCCAAGTCACACCCCCCCCTCTCCGCCAACCCCATCCCAAAGTGAGTTTTCCATCCTTCCCCCCACAAAGAGATATCAGTCTTACACACAGTTGTAAGATCGATCAAGATGGGTAGCCTTGTTTGTCTGTATCTGAAGAAGTGAGCAGCGACTGCCACAATTTTTGTTTGTCTTTAAGGTGCTCCTGGACTCTTGCTCTTTTCTACCGCTACACATTTGTAAGTAATATGGAATTCGGCCCTTGGTATCCATGAAAGCAACATAAAACATGTAGCCTGAAACGAAGAATCATGTTCTTTAATCCACTTTGTGGGTTAAAGCAACTCAATAAGCAGCAACAGCTGCGGCTTTAATCACTCAAGAAATAAAACCTCTCATTATTTCGCACTGCATATACAGAGACAGAATGTGATAACGACACACCAAAAGGAAGGAGGCAATCAGCAGGGTATTTATTTCCTTTTATAGTTATGTGGTCTCCTATTTTTCCAGGAGAGTAATGTGCACAATGCAGATTTATCATTGACTTTGAGGCAGTCAAATATTCATCAGCAAATTTCTAATGATTCTTTTTAGAACCTAACAAAGGTTAATGTTGTATTCTCCCATAGAGTTATACAAGCCATGCTGGTATTAACAATGCTTTGTACATTAATTTAACCACTCTGCACACTCATGTCTTGGTCTGGCCACTTAGAATGCAGGAAAGGACCATCAGGTGAGAGAAGATGTATTTTGGTTTCCTAATTTTTTTTTTCATCCATAAAGTTGCAGACGACTTTTGATGACCCCACAGGGCTTTCAAGGCAAGAGACTAGGGCTGCGGTCAGACATGCAGTTCGACCCACTGTTGCCCCGCCTCTAATTGATCCAGGTTATTTTGTAACCAAAAATTATGATCAGTCTTACCCCTTTTAGCTCTTCAAAGTGCTTTTACCCGTATCTGATCGATCAGACGCTGCAGCTAGGGAGTGTTGCCGTCGGCCATTTCTTAAAAGTTTGTCCTCAGAGCATGCTCACAAGCACTGATGAGCCTGCTGGGATATGTAGCTCATGGGGCCATTGGCCATTTAAAAAAAAACTTGTCCTCTGATCGTGTACACAAGCGCTGATGATATGTAGTTGGGACATGTAGTTCACTGCTGTCCTCCCTCTCTAAAATTTTCAATTAACCCCTTCCTGAAAGCACAGAAAAAAGTTGATGTACAGAGGTGGCTTTTTTTGAAAGATTTTATAAAGAAAACAAACTTTTGAGCAGCCTCTGTGGCAGAGGGAGTGAGAGAGAGGTGCAAATATGCAGTTATGCACACATCACTAACTAGAGAAAAATAAACGGTGGCCGGAAAACAAGAGACCAGTCAGACCTGCCTGATGGCTTGGGTGCACAACAGAGTGATCAGACAACAGGAAATCCATTTTGGAACCAGTTCAGACCAACAGGACTGGACTTTCACAGGTATCAATGAAACACACAGTAAGGGGTGGGTGGGATTCAGACGACTGGGGCATGACAGACAGATGTTGCTGTCTGATCATGAATTTTAAATCCATAAGGGAACAGCAATGCCAATGGATCA